CAGTTCATATATTTATCTGTTTTTATGAACTGCACTTATTGGTCAAAAGTGAAGAAGCTACACACTGATATGAACCTTCGGAGTTGCCATTCTTCTTCTACGCATGCGTGTGGTGTGCGTTGTTAACTACAGTCTACTGTAATCTAACGATTGTTAAACTATCAGAAGCATAATTTTAAAACATGTCAGAGAAAGGAGAAGTGGATTTAACTGGTGCCAAGCAGAACACGGGTGTGTGGCTTGTAAAGGTGCGTATGTACCTTTAAAAAAATAGGATAATGTATTAACTTAAACGGAGCTAAGGCTAACAGCAATGTAGCTTAGCGTTACGGTCGACTGTAGCAGTGTGTTGTAATTCATTAATTGTTAGCTAGCTATAATAAACTGGTCACCACTACTCATCAGATTATTTATTTGACCGTGTAAACGGATAACTCTTATATTGAAGATTATAACTAAAGGTCCCATCGTCAAGGTATGAAACCAGCCCCCGTAAAATATACTCATGTTTCTTCATGCAGGTTCCCAAATATCTCTCCCAGCAATGGGCGAAAGCGACGGGCAGAGGAGACGTCGGGAAACTCCGAATATGCAAGTACGTGAAACAACTGAACACCAATGAAATAACAGAAGCTTTGTTTGTGTGTGAGCTTAAATCAAGCGATAGTAGTCATTGAACAACACGAGACAACTCGTATGGAATGGGAAAAGAGAAATTGTATGTTGATGAAGGATGAAGCAATAGTGTTATTAAATGGTAATACAAGCAATGCTTTTGTTATTCTGCTACTACTGATACATTGGAAATGAAACGTAATACTTTGTTATTCCAGCCAATAAATTAATCCTAATTTTGCTCATTATGTTGATCTCTAAGGAAAGGAAACCAAGCAAAAGCAGAGGTAAGTGATGTTTGAAAGCTGTACCATGCATCCTAGTGATGGACATCTGCCGCCACATACAATGCCACGAAGATAGCCATCCTCATGGTGTAGTACACACGTAGTAATCTATAGTTATACACCATAGTCTGCATTGGAGAAACATGAATTTGTTTATAAAGGCTAAATAGATAACAGTCCGCGATCAGATTCTTCTGTGACGTTTCCTTGATTGATGATTTAATCTCTTCTCTCTTCACAGGTGTCTTTCACTTTGAATGAAGAGCTGACCGTGATCGAGGGCATAGAAGACAAGACGGTGTCGGCGCCTCGCGACCATCCGTTCACCATGCAGACAGTGGGAGGTCAGATGTTGGCGGTCTTCACCGAGACTTCATCGGGTGAGCTTCTGTTTTGAATGTTGAGCCCAGCCGAAGGATGCCGAGTGTTTGCTTGTGAGTGTGTCTGCTGCAAGACGAGACACACATTACATTACAGAGTCCAATGTTGTGTGATGTGAATGATCTGTGAGGTAAGTTCTGTGTGATCGGGGCGGTGGAGGCGCCCGTCCTGCTGCTCTTTGCACAGCTGGCTGTCTTTCCCTTTGCCTGCCCTGCTTGTCTCTGTGTGTTGTGAGCTCTCCACACATTTTTCCCGGAGTGTGAGGTTGTCCACAGACAGAGTACACATAAGAAATGTACTGTGCACAGTGGATAAGTGAACACTCAATGGAAAACGGAAGAGAGCTGGTCTGTTGGAAATGTGTCCGATCTGTGCTTCCATTTCTATGTACAATGTTAATCTAGTTTCCGTGTTTGATCTTATGTCGGTCATTCGTTTGTGCTTTTCACCTTTTTTCAGTCCACTGCCAATCATCTCAGTCGACTGGACACATGATCAGGCACAACGGCCCCGTTCACAATTAATGTAACAGAGATCAAGATCAACACACATCATTGCTGAATTTGGAGTTGATTTTAGTCTGTGCATGTTTTATTTTTTTTGTTTGGTTTGAATTTCACCAGCCCTGTCTGCCCTCCTAATGTGATGTAGTTGTGTTGTTGCTGTGGGTGCTGGTGAGCTTGTGCTACTGTGAGACGGCATCTTACGTGCCGTCTTAGTGTGTGCGTGAGAGTTTTAGGGCTGCACACTTAACTTCATTTGTGCAGCCCAGTCATGGATGTGTGTTTGTGGTGGCACCGGGTATCTGCGCTCGCTTTGTTGTGAGGGCATGCTTGCTTCGCTCATGCGCACGCGCGTGTACTATCCCGAAATGACGCCGGGAAAGCTCTGTGTGATTAAAACGTTTTGGTGTGCAACTAAACCCTGGGTGTGGTTCTTTGTTGTTCGATCTCCTTCCTCCGCCTGCCATCCCACTGTATGTTCATGTTTACCAACCCTCCCTCCCTTCCTGTAGGCCAGTCAGAAGAAAGATCTGATGGCAGCAGCTCAGTTTCGGGGGCGGGGGCAGGTCCAGGTGAGTCCTACGTTTTCGCCAGCGAGTGACAAAGTTGCACCATTGGGAATCAGACACAGAGAGGGTCTGTTATTTTTTTAATTATTATTATTAAATGGGAGTATCACAACAGCAACCCATATACATGCTTTGGAAGATGCATGTATTGGTACCAGAAACCGTAGACACATTGTGGAGCACAGTTCTGCCCTGAAGCATCACACGGGCATCTCTTCTCTGTTTGAGCATAAATTGCACAACTCATATGAAGCTTCTGCACTTCGTTTGCACCATCTTGATTGGAGGATGGAGGAGAGAGTCTGTGGTCAGACACTGCGATGAGTAGAGTGCTTCCTGCTGGTGGTGATGGTTACCAGTCCAGTTGTGACATTGTGAAAGAGAATTAATATCGTGACTGTTTCTAAATGTTAGTTTAGATCTATTCTCTGTACATTAGCACGCTTATATGAGGCAGACTGTCCTGGTCCTTTCTTACCCCTAAACCTTGGAAGGCCAAAGCTCTCATTTGCATACTCACAAGGTATGCAAATGTACAATAGCGTATTTAAAAAAATGATGTTACGTTACTGTCATTGATACTGATTGAAGACTTAATTACAGCATAGAACAGTGTCATTTGGCATAAACCCTCGCTCTGGCTCAAACATTTCACATTCAGTGAGTGAGCCCTGTGGAGGACCCACAGATACCGTTAGTGACAGCGTGACCTCCACTCTGAGCCAGTAGACAGACAGTGTGGCTGGTCTGGAAATAGCCGTGGGAGACAAAGAGGTTATATTATTTTATATATGAATAATTTACAGAGAAAAGGGGCAATTGTACGGAAATTGGGAGACTTTTTGGTGGAGCAAAGAGAAATGCACGGACTGAATTAGAAGTGACTGTGGGATGAATAATAGTAATAGCAGTGAGAGAGGTTCGGTGTGTGTGCGCCAGGGTCAGGTGGTTTGTTGTAGTCCCGTTATGATCGTTATGATGAGTGGAGTTACGGAGTTTCCGAAACCCTCGATCGCTCTGACATAATCCTTTCAACCTGCAGGAGAGAGCCACGGTGGACTGAATTACATTCATATAAATAGGAGTGTATTTACTCATTATCCAGTCAGTCATTCAGTGTCTGCTCTCGCACATGGAACCGATCACCCTTCCTCACTTATGAAGTAAACATGCACTGAAAAAATGCCAGTTGACATTTGTTAATTAGCTGTGCTCTCTTTCAGATAAAGTCGCCCTGGAGGGAGTGGTCGTGCAGAGAGCAGAGTGCAGACCTGCTGTCAGTGAAAGCTACATGAAGCTGAAGAGGTGAGTCTTTATTACTGTTGTGAGTATGTTCTGAACCTGCATGAACGTAGCTTATCATGTTAAGTCTACTTCATGGTGTATGTATGTGTTGACATCTTAATGCATCGTATCACACAGGCGTTACTCAGTGTACACAGCGGATGTCATGTTTAAGTCATTCTCGTCGTCCTGACAGGTTGCAAATTGAAGAGCTGGCCAAGCCCGTCAGGCTGTCCCAACAGCTGGATAGAGTCGTCACCAGCAACTACAAACCGGTGGCCAACCATACTTACAATGTAAGAAATGCGTCCGATGCAGGATTGTCTTGTTTCATTCATCTTAACATGTAACCTGCACATAAAATAGTTTGTGGATGCTTCTGGATAAGCACATGGAAATCTTGTTGCTTGGTTGTCTTACAAATCATGTATATTGTTTGTTTGTTGATGACCCTAGCCATGAACCGTCTATGTTTTTCTACATTTATATATATATTTATATAAATGATACTAAAGAGGGGGAAATATTTAGCATTCTTTAGAAATTACAACTGACTTGTAATGTTGGGTGCAGGCCTGCATGTGTTTGGTGACCTCTGGCTGTTTCACTTTTTGTTTCAGCTCGAGTATGAGCGGAAAAAGAAGGAGGAGGGCAAGAGGGCGAGACTAGACAAACAGCAGGTGTTGGACATGTTGTTTTCTGCTTTTGAGAAGCATCAGTACTACAACATCAAAGACCTGGTGGACATCACCAAGCAGCCTGTGGTAAGACCTAACACCCTGTTTATACTGACTTGAGTTCAGTGTGTACATCGGAGTCATTAAGACTCAATACGACCATGGGGTTGTTGCTTTTTGTCTCTGTGCTACTAGAACTAATTCTAACACTCCTACTGTAACGGGGTTTTCCTCTTAATCAGTGTGCAGTGATTTGATAAAGGAATAAAGTCCAGCTTCGATCCTAGAAAATCTCCCCTCCTCTTTCTTCTCTCTGCTCTGCTGTTTTCCTGCTGTGTTCAGGCTCTCTCAGTCAGCTCTCTGACATTCTTGCGTTTTTGGGGGTCTATCTTTCCCATGATAGCAGAAGCGTCTTCTATTCCCCACCTCTGAGGGGTAAGACAGTAGAAGGGTCTTCTTGTCCTCTGTTCTAACGGGGGGTAGGACCCCTAAGGGTCTATTCAAGAAGTCTGTCCCATTCTCTCGTTGGGGAAAAGCCCCCAACTCTCGCAGTTTTTCTGCTGGTTTTCTGCTGATCTAAGGCTGGCACCTCCTTCAGGTTCATGAGTCCTGCTTTTAGAGCTGACACAGAATGTAACTGGTTTGATCCTGTTCAGAAGAGGAAGGATTGTATAGGTTTTGAGTGACTATTTTATATCAGGCATCTATGCAGTTCATATGGTTAATTACATCTATCATAAATTAAAACAGTGTATATGTTTAATGGTTATACTTTTCTACGATCTTTCAACAATATATAAGACAGATCAAATCATTGTAAACGGTTCTCCGCTATATTTCAACTGGGTTATCTTTATTCTTTTGCACAGCTTTTTCTTGTGAGAACTGTTGATTAAATGATCTTTTTATCACAGAGAATGAGAGCAGTATATTCATCTTTTCCCGTTTTTCCTCTCAGATTTACTTGAAGGAAATCTTGCGTGACATCGGCATCTACAATGTGAAGGGAACACACAAGAACACCTGGGAGCTCAAACCAGAATACCGACATTACCAAGGCGATGAAAAGACTGACGAATAGTTTCTGTCCCTCCTGATTTCCATATATCAGGTCAACCACAGGTTGTATCCTGTTATTTTGTAGACCAGAAGAAACTGCAAGGGGCAACTAATTCAAGCACCGTCTCTCCTGGATGTGTCGTCTGTCACAGCTTCTGTGCACTGGAGGCCTCAGTATATGGATTTAGTTCTACTCATCAGAGGCTCAGGACAGCATTTTACAAAGCAAAGGATGCATTTATGAATGCCGTTTCTTGGCATCGTATTATTTTTTTAATGATGTGGCACATGGGTGCCGAGGTAACGGGTTTAATGGTTAGAGAATAAACGTCAGGATGAAGGATGTGACACAGGTAATAGCTCTCACCACTAACGTGACATGTTTTTAGAGACCTTTTTTAATTTGACTTTGAATCGACAGAATTTTAAGACCAGCACCATTGCTTTAAGTCTTTCCTGCATCTGCACTGTTTTTAAATGGAATGACTTGTGCAATAAATGTTTTTCAACATAATCTTTGTACGACAGCAGCATGACAAACTTCTACAGATATGCAAGTTGTGGAACTACAGAAGACCGTTAACCAGCCACTGCAGGTTTTTGAAATTTGGTTTAAACCATTGGGACTATTAATTGCTCACTTTTTAGCAATTTACTCAACTATCTAAGGCAGTAGTAGCGCTGCTCAAAGACAGTCTTTCTATAGCAGGAGTCCTGATAACTTTCAGAATAAACTCTGTAGAGGAACTGAAAGCAGTGCTTCCCCACTAAATGGCTCCTGAAACCACTATTGCATTAATCAGTACTACATATTTAAGTTGAAATGCTTTTATTTAACCTTTATTCGGGTAACCTTTCGCCGGAGCCCCGGCCATCAGACCTCTGGAGCTTGTCCAGAAAGCTGCAGCTCGCCTGGTGTTCAATCGCCCCAAGTTCTCCCACACAACTTGCCTTCTCCGTTCTCTACACTGGCTACCTGTAAGAGCTCGCATCCAGTTTAAGACTCTGGTGCTAGCCTACAGGGCAGTGAAAGGAACAGCTCCTTCCCATCTCCAGGCCATGCCCTACACCCGCGCCCGACCACTTCACTCTGCTGCCTCGGGGCGACTGGTCGCTCAGAGGTCCCTGCGGCCGATCGCGGCTGTTTTCTGTCCTGGCCCCACAGTGGTGGAATGAACTCCCCACTGACGTCAGGACAGCAGTCGCTGCCCATCTTTCGGCGCAGGCCGAAAACACCTCTTCAAAAAGGCCTACCCTGAGCCTTCCACTTAGCAACTATTGTATTCATACTAGCTTATTGCACTTATTTTCTTATTAGTTTGTGGCACTTATTGCATTCATTTGTTTCTGCACTGTACGTTGGCTCTGGTTTATGCTCTTAGATGCTTGTTTGAGGAAAGGAGATGCACTTATGACTTCTGGTGACCAGTAGTTCTCGCGAAAACCAATGTTGAATACACTTATTGTAAGTAGCTTTGGATAAAAGCGTCTGCTAAATGACTAATGTAATGTATTCCCATTCAAAATCTTTTTCAGCAGAGTCCTGGCCAGCAATGCAGCATAAGATGGTGCACATAAGACTTAAAATCAAAATGGCAAAGAAGTTATTAGAACATTAACTTCAAATGCAACGGCTAACTTCAAACAACAAATTCAGTTTTCAGTAAAGACGTCGGCATTCAAGGGTAAAAAAAAAAAAGTCTTTAATAAACAGACAAAAATGGTGGCATTTTTTCACATTGCATCTCCTGATTCATACTGTTAAGATCAAGATTAATGCTGCTGCCAGACTTCAGAAAATTAGGACAAACATTTAAGTGCATTGCAGTGTTTGTTCGGCATCGGGGGCACAATCGTTCCACCGATCAGATCTCAGTCAGGTGTTTGCCGTTTTTCCTGCAAGAAAATGGAAAAACAATAAGCTACATCGCTGCACACATGTCAGAGAAGGTCATCCTAATTTGGTAAGACATGGCAAAATGCTTTTTATTAGCTTTAAAATAAACAATGTGAAATTGTATTTACAGTACCTATAAACAAACAAGTAAAATGTTTGTATGAATATATAATATTAATGTATTCCATCTTAAATGCAAGAGCAGTGTGGGATACTACTTCAAAACTTCATGGGTGATATTATACATCAACTTGTGACTCTGACCGTTGGCCGTGCACAACACACTCGCATGTATTCCTCAGTTCAAACCGTGCTGCTATAATGTAGCAGTCAGAAAGCACGAGGAAGGTTCAGTTTAGCATCTCTTTGCAAACCAAGAAGCCAAAGAAGCATGCTTCAGGTCTATCAGTGGATGCAAAGTGAAGTCTATTCTTACTGAACAATGCTACAAGTGCTCACCTGCAAAGTATCAGTTCAGACCCAGCATACTCACGAGTCGGTTACAGCTTCTCTGACTTCATCTCCCGAAGCCACATGGACTGGAAAAAGGAAAAAAAAAAAAAAAAAAAAAACTACAATATTACATCCAGCTCATTATTTTAAGTCTATATTACAAACAGATATATTTTGGAATTATCCTCCCACATTCAATCCGAGACGCCATGGGAAAGCGGCGAGCAGAAAGCGCAGGGACATTTAATATTGCATCTGAAATATTAAAAACCCAGGACGTCTCACAGCAGAGAGCCCAGGCTGTCAAAGATGCAGCTCACGACCGAGCTACAGGCTCGATCAGCCAAACAGTGAGACCCAAGCATGCGTCTCTACAAAGAAAACACCTCAAGTACATTTCACACGCGACTCGATGCATGCGGCAGCTGTCCTCTTGTTGGAGCTCCTCTCTCGGACCCATTTTCTCAAGAAATTACACTGCCGTGGCAGATTGTAGTGTTGCAACAGCAAAGTAATGACTGGCAGACTGCCACAGAGTCATCAGCCTCCATCTGGCTCACACAGGTGTCCTCCAAAAGACATTTGATCCGCTAGGAAAACAAGGCAGAAGGAGTTATTTACCAGTACTGCCTAAATAAAAGCTTCTTACTGTTAAATTCAATCTGTCCACATCGTGCACTTTACATATTAATATATCACTACTTGATTTCTGCTGTGACAGATTCAAGAGCATGAAGTTGGTGAAAAAGTTTCAAACTATTGAGACAAAGTAGATCCAGTAACATTAAGGTGTTATGAAGGATAACATTTACGCTAACAGCTAACGTCACATTAGCATAGCTTATTAAATACACTGAGTTAGCATTACAAGGCTAGTACAGGGAAACATTAGTTAAGTTAATGTAACCACCAGCCCATTTAGTGTTACGATACATTAACGAAAATACGTGTCTCAAGTGGCCCTCCGACACCGCGTGATTGATGTAATTAGGGTTAGCTACAAATGGCTAGCATAAATGAGGGCATGGTAGCAACAGTAGCAATGAGGCATTTCCGGTGCTATGCTAAATGGTGTAGCGTTTGTTACAACGTGTCACCAATGCTAAAAAAAACCTGAAGACATGTTTAACGTCCTGTACGATTATTTATTCCGCGAATTTAACAGTCATGTAGCTTAGCTAGCCTAACGTTACGTTATATGAAAGGGATTCCGTCGGCGACACAAAATGGCAACAGCCAACATTAATGTACACGTGTCCACAGAACTATGTTTTACAACTCTAAACGATCCATTACCCGTTACTTTGGGTTCACCCAACAATATATGATGATGGTAATATACTTACAACAGACCATGCCGATGATCAAACTGCTAAAGTTATTTTGCATTGTAACGTTATAGCGATGAGATGTCTTCCTCCTGACGTGTGGTGTGTGGAGCAACGTCGGTGAAAGGACTGAGCGAACTGTAGCTTCCAGCTTAAATAGGTTACCGGTACGGCTCATCGTCGCCCCTTGAGGACAAATATGGAAATTATGTTTACACGGTCGCCCCCTGGTGTTAGGAGGTACCCCCAGTTGGACGTAACCAAACATTATTTTACCGTAATTTATAAGTAAGTGCGCAGGATTAATATGCACTCCGATTTACTATTCTCATAACCCATTCCCCATGTAAAACAATGTTAATTGGTTAAATTCAATTCATTTTTTGCAAGGCTTCCGTGTAAATGTAGATTATTTGTTCTAACATCTAGAAAATTCTACTGTTTCAAAGGAAAAAGCTTTTTGAGATGAAAAATGAATGGGGATTTCCCTTAGAATGTACACAGACAGACACGCTTTTATGACCTCTCTTCTTTAAATGTCAGTTTGATGCAGGAATGTTAAAATGCTATTTCAGCCAATGATGGAAAGTATAGGAGTCGTCAACATAGTTTCATTATTATTATTATTATTTTCTTTATTATTATTATTGTTATTTGTGGTGTTATAGCAGTAGCAGTGTGATTAAAAACAATGAAGATCAAAAAAGAAAAGAAAAGCCCAACGTGGAAGGCGAACAAGCGCGTGAATTATGCGCGCGCCCGGCTCCTCTTCTTCCATACTGTGAGTTGACTGAGGAGGAGGTGCAGCACTTCTAAACTGGACTCCGCGAGTTTAAATGGTCTTCCATCCGCTCCGTGCGGATTTACGAGAAGACATGCAGGCATCAAAGAAGACCTAAGAGCAGGTAAGTAGAGTTAATAATGTCTTATGTGTGACCACCTTTATGTGTGCTAATGATTAAAATGTAAATACATTACTCGTTGTCTTGGTCTCAGAAAACACCAATTAAAACAGCTTCTTCTTCAGCAGTTGAACTAAGAACTAACTGTGTGTGTGTGTGTGTGTGTGTCCCCTGAATAACGTGCTACTAATTCTAATTAACATTTGGCTTAATCTTCCACAGGCAGTAGACAGTGAAGCAACAGCCCAGCTATGTTCAGAGCAGTGTTTGGAAACAAGAGAGAGGGAGGAGGAAAACGAGGAGAGAAAACTAAACAGAGACACCCAGGTAAGAGCCAAATCACTGAAAACTACCTGTGTAACACAACTGTGTCAGCCCAATAACAAGCCAAAACTGCACCTTTCCGCTTGTATCGTAATTTCATTTGTATCACAGTTTATATCATTTTGAGACTGCATTTCTCACCCTGATCACAGATATGAGATGTATCTGATGTTGGACACATTGGCTCTTGCATTTTTTTAATGGCATTATTCAGGTTCTCTTGGGTGATTTCAGTAGAGCCATTTCAATTAACCTAATTCATCAGTGTGTTCTGTCCTTCACACAGTGTCCCGCTGCTTGCAATTAAAGTGTGTCAGGAGGAGTTAGAGTGGGTTAGGCAAACATCCTGGCCTACTAAAAACATACTGCATTTCTCGGGAATTTGTGAGCGGGCCACGAGTGAATGAGACAAATCTGCGTACCTGTTATGAAAGAGTAGTACTTGCCGTAAACAAACTGAACGTTTTGCACTAATGTCAGTGAAATGCGCACTTAAGGGTGTGCTGAGCAACCAGAACGTTTAGCTGTTTAACAGGAGCTACGATGTGTGTGTCGTTCACAGGGAGAACTTGTCAACTCGCTGCAGTTCAGAGGAGATTTTGACTGCACAGTGGAGATGGATGAACACAAGTAGAGCTCAGTATTAGCGCAACCATGCTGCGCATTAATATTTGATAATGTGCTGCTCTGGGAGGCAGGAGCAGAGAGGAACATAGAGAACTGTGTCAGTCTCATTAAAAATGATATAGTATGTTTACAGACTCTGATCATTTGCCGAGAGATATCACTCCTTGTCAAAAGCATATCATGAAAGCTTTCAGGGCTGTGATCCTTTATATCTTTTAGGAATTATGCAACAGCATGTGAATTTTTAGCATTAGGTGGTGGACCTCTGAGTCCTTGTTTTGCTCAAGGTAATAACTGCAAAAAAAACGGTCTCATAAGAAAAAAAGTAAGTGAATGTGAAAGACTGAATTATTCCACAGGGAAAACTACTGCGATCTGCTACAACCAATATAAGTGGCAATGCAGCCTCGGTAAGCACCTGGCTGTGTGAGTTCTCATGCGTAGTGGTTATTAAAATACACAGGACGAGGCCCAATGGCTGCAGTACGAGTGGAGATGAAAATTATTTGAATATTTAATTGAAATATAATAAGTGTTGCCTCTTTATTGAGTGTGATCCCATTTCTTTTAATAGATGTTCTGGCATTGCCAACTTTCCATTACCTCATTCAGCAATATGCCTCCAAGACAAGATATGTTCGCTCTGTCGCGGCCTTATGTGAGACATATTTAAAACTGCTCTGTCTGCAATATGTTAAACCCGCTGCGCAGTCACAGTTCTGTTGAATCAACTCTGCCTTTGTAACTCTTCTAAATGATGCCTCTTGAACTGTAACACTTGTCCTTCTCTATATTTTCTCTGCACACTCCCATCTCCTCCACGTAGGTAGTGAGGTGTACGCTCACAGCGCCTTGCAGAGGGGTAGTGGCGGCCGTGCCGCATGCCTCCAGGACCACGACAGCGGCTACACTGAAAGGCGAGGGAAACTGAGGAGGCTGACCAAAGGCGCGTCCATTTCTCTGCCCTCCTCCCCTCTTCTGCCTCGCCAGGCCGATATAGTTCCCTCCCAGTCGTGCATCAAGTTTACAGGTGGGTTAAATTGAAATAGCAGCAATAATGAGAACAAAGCAGGGGCTCAATACGAACAACTGAGAATGACTAGAAGCTGTGCATCAGGGAATAGCTGCAGAAATAGCAGAATGCTTTGATGGGTTGGTTTGCCTTGATTAGCGGAGAGCTTCTGTGCGTTCAGCTGCTCCATACATGTGACAGCAAATGCAAGAGCATACCGACCGAACCCCCAGGGCTCAAAAAATATGTGACAGATTGTCAGAGTAAATGATTAAACAAGATAACTTAAGGCAAGGAAGCCCAATTAGGTAGGTTGATTTTTAGATATACTTATAGTTTGGATCTGTTCTAAATAAAATAGTCCCAATCAAAGACAACTCTTTTGACAAAATAAATTGAATTTGAACTCAATGTCCATAGCTTTGTTCCTTTCTTTTTTAAATATGTTTATACATACAAATATTTTTCACATTTTTACATAATCTTTACCTGAGTGGCAGGTTAAACGACACGTCGACTGTCGTGTCCATCACACGTGGTGCTGTAGATGCAGCCATGCAAATGTGCCGTGATACGTTTTAGCTGAGAGCTGGCTTGCGGTGGGAGACATACGCCATACTCGTTTGATTCCTGCAAAGAAACCCCTGACGCCATTGTCATTTTTCATGTCGATCAGTCAACTGTTGAATAAACTGACAACAACAAAATGAAACTCTGCAGGTACATCATTCTGCACAGTGAAGGTCTGGAGTGGGGGACTTTTCCAGTTTCATTTAAAAGCATCTTCTACATTAAAAAAGAAAAAAAATCAAATGTAATAGTCTACAATGCACATGCTGCTTTGCGAATGTTTCATTATTTAATTGAAATAACACATTTTTAAAACATCGATGGGCACATTACTATTTTGTTATTCATAAAGTCAAAACGGTAAAAATCACAAAGATGTTATTTACTGTTGAAACATGTTTTGTAACAATTATAGCATGAAGTACATGTCATAAATAATAATTGTGCTATTTTAAAGAGCAATGACCTAAAAAAGGTTCTGTGACATTTGTAATCATTTAAACTCTCGTACCTGTTGGACAAAAAAAACAAAGTAAACAAGCCTTGCCTTACCTTAAAAAGAGCACAAGGTGGCAGTGTCCCACAGCAAGTACAACCATTCAGAAAAAAAGGCGCTGTTACGTTTTCATTGCATGCAGAACTGCCTTTATTTTTCCCCAGTACACTGAACGCACATGACAAGGGAAATTACAGCGAGTAATGATAAACGCTGCCATGGACTGGGTGTCACTGGTGGTTGTGCAGCATCAAATATTAAACTGTGTGTGAATTCAACAGTATTTCCACATGCGTGATTCAAACGGTGAGTAACCTTGAGTGTAGGGGTTCAGTACATTTCAGTGTTCCCAAACATCTCATCCTCCTGAATGATCTCCAGTCCTAAAGAATCTGCGCTTACCAAGAACCCCTCAGATGTTGTTGCATAAATTGAGACACACCCACACACATCAATATGTGTGCACCGCTGTCCCTGCCACACACACACACACACACACACACACACACATTAGCAGTGTTAATATATTATAGATAAACCCCCACGGTACAGTGAACAGTGTACTGTTTGCATGCATTGCTCGCACTCTGTGCATACTGCTTTATCCTCCTGGGACACAATTCAAATTCTGCACCACAGATCTCATCTGGGGTGGCTTAATCTCTCTCTCTCTCTCTGTCTCTCTCTCTCGCTCTCTCTCACTTTCTTTCATATCCCTCCTTATCTCCACCCTCAATCCCTCCCTCTCTCCCACCCTGCCTGCTGTCCCTCCCTCTCCCGTCTCCGTCTTTGCTGTGGCCAAAGGACGGGTAAGGGAGCTGGAGGATGTGTATGGCTTTCCCAACGCGAGAGAACCTCTCGTCTTTGCCTCGTGCCGTGGCAGGACAGACTGCAGAGGTGAGAACAGCAGTGTGTGGGAGTGTGTTTCGCGTCATTTCTGTTTTTCCAGGTATTGATCAGTGAAGCTGAATGACAATGAATGTGGCAGAGGTGAGTGAATGACGAGATACAAGAGGCAATGAGTGTGTGGCTGTGTTTGAATGACATCCAAAAGGCTTTGCATTAAGTTTTCCATTTCAGATGAATGTAGGGGCAGTGATGGTTTGATGTATTTTGTATATTCATGTGTTTAATTGAGAGTGGATTTGTTTTAACACAGTTTCTCCTGAGTCCCTGCCCTGACTTCTCTGCATGCTGCTTGCGAAGTTAGATTAAAGCAATAACGGTGCAAATACCCACATCTCAGCCAGCTTTCTTTATGTATTTGACCAGAGGGTTATCCTTAGGCTAAACTGATTTTATGAGGCATCTTCTATCCCGGTTGCCAGGCACCTCTCAGCTTTCCGTTTCCAATGGCAACTGCTGGGTGGTTTGATGAATAGTACTGGACATTCAGTGTGCCCTCATGTTACTCCAGATTGTTTCTCTGTGCACTGCTGACTAAATGCAAAGTTTTCTCTCCTCCCCCTCTCTGAAATACCCATCCAGCCTTCCTACAAGTCTTCAGCAGCTTTTCAAGCTGTGAAGTGAAAAGAGTATCGACAGAGGCTAGAACTCGGCCACTTTATGGAACAAAAGTGACCAGGCTGCCTCTCAAAATTGACCTTGATCCTCTGATGGCTACGGCTCCCGTTTGAACATACTTTGAATGTTGAATGCGATGTGATGCAGTGGCTTTTAAAAAGGAGAGAGTGAGCCAGCAAGGCAGAATGAGCAAGAATCCGTGGAGGGAGTGCGAAATGAATGTCTGAACGCAAAGATGTTTGTGAGGAGGAGTGAGCTGTTCCTGTAATCCGTGATGTCCTGTCATCCTGTTTACATGCCTACTCAATATGCATGTTAGTCAGCTGATAACGGCACATAGGTGAGGCGTGAGAACGGAGGGCTGTATTGCTCAGCTGTGCGAAGCACAGAGATGCGCAAACTATCAAAGCCTTGCTCTGCAGAGGTGAGCGCGGACCTGAGAGGAGCTGGGGTTGGAGGTCAAAGCATCGGGGGAGCCTTTAAACAGTGATAAATGAATGCAGCACATGGCCGGTGTCAGCCCGATCTCTCCTGGAGCAACAGGGAAGGCAGAGCCAAGGCACTCCTTCGTTCTGCTCTGCTCTCATTGAAATTCGCAACCCGTCTCTTAAACCGAGAGCACCTGGCAGGCGTGTGCACGGGCAAACTCACAACCTCACACAACCCCCTCGCTGCTGCCTCAACCGGGGTGACTGGAAAGCCACAGTCTTTGCATTCATAATCAGGGCAGCTGGGGCTGTGCTGACCTGTGTGGATGCCGACATCTCTCGCGGTTCACTGTAGTGATGCTGCTGGGCGGGAACCTCACGAGCGAGCTGAGCTGAAACGAGAGGTTCGGTTGGATGACACTCTCATCTGGCCTGCCGTGTTTCATTCTGCTTGTTAATCCGTGTGTCCTGAATGTGTACTTTTTCCAGACCTCCACGTGGAGCCTCAGCCGGGCTCCTCCCTTTCTACCCAGGAACTGATGACCAGACTATGCTTTTTATTGGGAGAAGCAACGCCTGGCACTGCTAGCTCTCCAATGGAGGACAGGAGGGAAAAGAAGGTAGGGCAGCTTATCGATTTACTGGGCCCTTGCTGTCATAGAAAAAGGCGACGGATGGTTTATCAAACAACCTGCTTTTTTTTTTTTTTTTTACTGCCCTCACATTGTCATCAGGATCTTAGTTTATTTTTAAACATTAAAAATGATTCGTTGATTGTTATTTTAAATTGAGCTAAGTGCAACGAAACATTGCGTGAAATACTATGCGTGATTTCACCATTTGGAAAATGGATCGATATGTATTTTGGAACGTTATTGTGTTGCTATGCTTCCACAGGGCTCCATGTCTCTACTCAGAGCCCCATCACTTTAACCCCTCTGTATGTGTGTGTTATTGCATGTGCTCATGCCTCTCCATCTCTATGCCTTTGCATTGCTCAGCCGTGGCCCATTTTCTCAGCCTCATTCCACCACCTGAGCTCCAGATTCATTCAGTTTCACAGCGATAGCGAGGCTCATATGAGGAATGTGGGTTGTCCTGGCTAAGATAGATGAGTCTGTGGTATAAAGGGAATAACAGTGAGCCGTTTCAACTCTGCTGCCTTGTCTCCCTTACGGTCTCTGTGTTGCAGAAATGTTGCATCAGTAATGAGGAGACCTGAAATGCATGTGATCAAACTACAATGATGAGGATTATTTAAAAACAAAAACAACACTACTTTTTTCTTAGAAAACATGTCCATTTGTTAACGAAAATGTCTTAAGAGGCTGTGAGACGATTTTCTAACTCTTCTGAACGTTTTGACCGGGCTCATTTACCGCTGGGAAAAGGTCGCATACATTAATCAATGTCAGCAGGTATTTAAAATATTCTTAAAGTGAAAAATGCCTCTTTATGGTAAATGATAATAATAATAATGGTAAATACTGTACATTAAAATATATGTAACACATGTGTGCAAAAGATGGGGTTTCCTCCTCTAAGAGAAACACAATGGAAAAGAAAATACATAATGTAACATGATTTATTGCAGGGTAGGTTACAATATGTTGTTAAGATGTACGTGTTATTATGTATATGTAATGTATTCATTCTCTTAACTCTTGAAAAGTGGAGAAGGCTCTTTATCAATATATGATACTGTAGAGATGGATCATTTCTCTTTTTTTTTTTCAACCTGGTTCTTATTTTTGTTGTTTTTCTTCACTATGATTTTAGTTTGTTGCTTCACTGTAAAGCTATCCACGCAGTGAGTCCAAGTATCGATCCAAAAAACACGCAGCTAACTAAAAAAAACAGCTAAAGCATGTCCTTTTAACACAGTAACACACACTGTAATGCTCCAATGTCATTTCCCATTTCCTAAAACTTGCATATATTGTGGTATTATTCTATCCAGGCAGTCTGATGCTGTGTTCATTGGATTTTCCCTACTTAAAATACATCCTGTCACCTGTGAAAAAAATGTTCACATTTCACTTCGTGAAATCAGCCCCGTGTGGAGCAGCAGAATGTGTGTACAGTGACTTAGACAGTAAATTATAAATGTCTACAGCGAGTGAGTTAGTCTTGAACGCAGCAAGCACTCGGCATGAAAAACTGGGAAAATGACAGCCAGGATGGAAATAAATGGAATTATCCTTTCAATCCCCATCTGCGTGTACACACAAACATACTTGGTCACACAAAAAAAACACTGTCATGCAGAGTGGAGTACTGTTAAAAAAGGGTGCCAACTGACACTGCAGATTTACGACACTTTTATGATAAAAGAATATCCCTTAGTTATTTCTCTTTCTTGATCAGGTTAAGTCTTCCCCTGTGATTCTCCACACATCCTAACTTTATGTCCTTGTATCAATATATTTCTGCTCTTCGTTTCTCTCCAGTGTGATACCTCTGCCCAGGGGGAGAGTCCCAGCTCCACTCTCACCTGCAGCACTGCCTCCCCCTGTTCAGAGAGCCCCTCCTCCACCCTGAGCACCAGTGTTGGAGGCCAGCCTTTGCCCCAGCCGTTGCCCATAACTTCACCCCACTGCAGCTCCAGCACCAGCCCCAGTGGAACCCTCTCCGACACGGTACCCAGCTCTGCCCCTTGTCCGGCTCCTGGACCCATCAGTCCCGGGCCTCCTTCTCAAAGCCCCACCTCCACCCTGGGGAGCAAGGACAGTGGAATCATAGGTGAGGGAGTTGCTGCTGTGTATCTGTTGGAAATCCTGGCCAGGTTTTCAAATGGTGTCTATCCACAATGTGCGAGTTCAGATTTGTTTTGTAGGCGAGGTGGAGCATGTCCAATACCGAAGCCCAGCCATGCATAGATGTTAAAAAAAGAGATTGTGCTCAAACTGGCCTATTCAACTCAATGTGGAACCGATTACCTACACCTTACTAAATGGTGATAGGAAGTTAGACGCAACATGACTAACTTTTAAGTCCTTGTCAAATGTGTACCCCTACCCCACAGATAGCTTCTCCATGTTGCCTCAAGGTTTCAGCTCCCTCCTGTCAAATCTGGGACACTGCTGTCTTTGTTGCTTATGGGTCTGATTCTCTTAAAATAGGACACTTTTTTCTCCCCAAATAGAGTTTGTATTTATAGTTAAATACAAAAGTGCAGAAGGTGCATCAAATACGATAAAACTCGTTGATTGATGAATTTTGAGTGTAAAGCTGATACAGTAGTTTGTTGTATTTTATTGTTGATTGAGTGAATGAGATTCGTTGAAGTGGAAGGAAATGCTTAATTTGGGGTTTTTAGTCAATTTTTACTGAGAACAAAATGCAAGTAAGCAATTGCATGCCATATGTTCTTCTTCAGAAGTGGGATTTTGTTTTTCTTTTCGCTGCCTTACTTAGCCTAACCTATATTTTCTTGCGGCTCAGCAACCACCACTAGCTCTTCTGAGAATGAGGAGCGCAGCGCCTCCAGTGAGGTTCTGACTAAGGATGAAGGCCCGGGGGGCGGTGCTGGTGTAATGGGCTATGCAGGTGGGGACCGCCAACCCGGACCAACCAGGGACACTCTGACCACCCAACCAGATGAGGCCTTACCTAGAACTGACATCATGGAGCCCAGGACTCCACCAGCACCGAAAAGACCCCTCCCACTGCACCACATACACATCACTTCCTCCCTTGCGATGCCCCGTCCCAATTCAGTGGCAGGTACGTTTACCTTTTCTTATGTGGTCACCTGTTGAATGAATATTCTTTTGCCTGTTGGCTTAGCTTAGCGTGAAGACTGAAGGGAAACAGCTCGCTTGGCTCTGTCCAAAGGGGAAAAAAAATCCTCTATAGCTCGCTAATTAACCCATTATATTTCCCCTTGACTTGCCATAACCTTAAGGTTGCCAGTCAACCAGCGGGGAGGAGACTCCAGGAAGTCACCGCTCCCAGCCAAGAAATAGTCCCACACATAAACCTCTGTGAAACTACATGTTCTATGTCGTTTTTATATTTCTACTTTTGTACGGAGTGTGATTGAGCTGCTAAAGCCTGAATTGTTTTGTAGATGAAGTAGGTTAATGAGAGTATGAATGTGACAGCTGTGACCCGGCTGATTAATTAATGGACTGATAAATATTGACTGAATGGCAGATTGATTGAATTGATGTTTGAGAGAGAGAGTCTAATTTGCAAGATCTCTGTGATGCAGAGCTAAACTTCATTGCACTGTGAGTCGGTGCTCTACTTACCACTGAAGCTGGATGCACACAGTGAGCGGGACCAGTTAAATGTCCTGGGAGGCCTCCAGTTGTCATAAAAATATCCCCCTCCCTCTACAGTCACGATCTTTGCTAGTGCACAAGGCTCTTTTTCTTCCCTTAGATGTCAGTTAATTTGTGGTGGGAGCAAAAGAAGAGATTCCCTAAGGAGTGGATTCACAGTAACACCTGCCAGTTTCTTCTGTCAGCTGGTGCTTTCATTTAGGCACCCTTGATGAAATTCAGAATAAAGATGAAGCTAGCTACAGAGCACTGTAGCCGCCAAGATTTTACTCCACATTCAAGAAACATTTGATAGAGGAGCGGTATATAAATTATGATATCCATTTAAGAATATTAACATTTTTATTTTTCCCGCATGACAAATATATTTGTTATAGCAGCAATATTATCCTGCTACAACAAAGAGAAACAGGCGACAAATAATTAATGAATGGAGGTTTTATAAACATATTATCCAGTACTTTCAATTGTATGGCTGTCTTAGAAAATGTATGACGTATTTTGCATAATGCAATTGTAGCAACATTAACAGCAGCAGAACATCAAGATATATTTTTCAATTGCAGATGATTAGGACTAATTTTCAAATTATTCAATGCATAATTTAAAGTCTAAAATAAATGGTGGTTCCATCACCTTTTAGTTCCTCACTGTCTGTTCTCATTAACAGCCTCATAATCAGAATGGATGGAATGGATGGAAGTGGCTCGTGCTCTCAAAGTTTCCTGAGAAAAACGAGGATTGTTGCAAGCACAGGGATACGAAAGGTATAGTCCAAGACAGTTTGCAGAGTATAGAATAGAAGTTACCTGCTTCATCAGCACCCCAGTGGGCTGAAACTGGGGCTTTTTTGGCAAGAAGCGTTGTGCAGTGTGATGGCTGTCGGCAGATAGAGTGGTAAGGTAAGGTATAGGTGAGGTATTTTTCTTTGAGAGCCAGTCAGAGGCTGAAGGTGCATCAACTGCAGATATGATGTGTAGTGTAGTCCAGTGTTTGCCTGCATGGTATTGAAATTAGCAAGTGTCTTAAACATCGCTATAATGTGACGGGTCAGGGCCACTGGCCTATAAGGGCACTGGTGCATCCTGTTTTCAATAATGGGACAATGCAGCCCTCCCATCTCCAAATTCAAGTTAAAGGATTACTTTGGGAACTACAGTACGCGTATTCGCCTGAAAACGGGGGGGGGAAGCTAGCCTGACTCTGTCCAAGGGTAACAGAATTTGTTTAACTCGTACAAAATGGCAATACACTGTACGGTAAGTTTTTTGCTAGTCCCAGCCGAGAAATGGTGTGGCATATAACCGGAAAATGGTGAATTGTTTTTGCACTTTGTTTTTTGTCCGTATTAAACAAACAAGATATTACATGTTCATCAGTGAGCTTTAGAGGTGCTGGTAGGTGGATTGTGTTACCTTTGGACAGAGCCCGTCTAGCTAGTTCCCCGGTTCCGGTCATTGTGCTTAAGCTAAGCTTAGCTTATCAAGTGCTAGTTGAAGCCTTATAGCGGACAGACATTAGAGTAATATTGATCTTTTCATCTAACTCTCCGCCAGAAAGAGAATATGGGCATTTCCCAAAAATGTCTCACAATTCCATTAAGTTTGAAAAGGTTGTGTAGAATCAGTGCATGCTGGGTTGCTCATGAGGGACTGGTGCTACCAGGCATGCTGGAAGCTTTGGCCAGGGCTGCGGAGTTGACCTTTAAAGTGTTGAATGATCAACAGGGGTTGGAGGGTAATCAACCACACTCATCAGCAACGGACATAAAGGCAGGTCAAGCAGTGAGTGTGGTGGACAGGGGTCCCATCAGGCTGGATTGTCAAGGGTGGAGGGATGAGCGCATCCTTGGTCCACTCAGCCAGTTGGCCTGTCTCTTTAGCCAGCGAGCTCTCTCATCCCACTCCACAACTCCTTCACACTGTTTTGCTGCAGACTGCTCTTCGTCCTCTCACTGTGGATGTTCTTTCAATTCTCCGCTACAGCTCTTGCTTGACAATAAGGGTAATTTCTTCCACGTCCCCTCTACTAAAAGCCCTTTTCTACCTGTTGAAAGGGATTTCATGTTTGCAGTGTGCCAGGGTTTATTACTTGCTTGGCCCCGATCTTTTTTTCTATCAGCATAATTGTGGTGTTCACGCTGTAATTGATTTGTCTTGCATCAGGGCGCCCCTCATTGTCCAGTAATACTCCACAGAGCAGGTCCCATGTGCTCTTGAAAGCCCTGCAAATTATAATATGGCCTCAGTAGCTTAACACCACTTTCTCACTCTGCTGCTGCAGACTGATGGCCACACGCAGGGATGCTACATGCAATAGAATAGGATCTGATTGGCCAAAGTGTTGGAACTGTATGTACCGCAGTTCAGCTTGTCTTTCTCCCTGTTCTAAATAAAAAAAGAGGGTGAAACTGTCCTGTATTACACTATTTAGTGAACATGAAATGTCAGTCGAGAGAGCATAAACAGATTTCATGTTGTGTGGCTCACATCTGAGTGTTTGGTGATTTGTCATGATGAAGGATGCTTAAAGACGTTGCTGGCCAGCATCTTCTGGCCGAGACCGTAATTGCTGTTTTAAAGCTTTAAGCTCATAACAGCTCAGCGATGTGTTGCAGCTCCCTCAGATGCTCTGAGATTATCAACGACTGCATTTAACATGTACAGTACATGATTATAGTAAATGTTAGGTCATCGTCTGTCCAGGGACTGCACTTTCCTGCTTCATTAGTCTATCTACAGAATTTCATAGTTGAGTGCAACGCTGCCTTTTTTTTTCATCCCACTCTTAGGGGATTAGAGGCAGAGGTAATGCCAGATTTTCAGATTTTACAGAGGATTTTATTTAAATATTACAATGATGAATGAATGAAATAGACCGGTTTGTGACTGGCCATTTAAAACAAACTTGAAATAACAATAGTTTTTCAGTAGACTCTTTTTTTTCATGCAGCTTTAGTCTTCTTTAGTAGTACTTCCATATATTTTAATATTAATGCCATTTATTTCATCATCTAAATATAGATAAATCCTTCCTTACACACAGCCCAACAGTATGAATCAGACAAAACCTAAATATTCATAAAACCAGTATCATTATAACCCAAGAGGTCCCACAAAGAATAGACACTTACGGTTGCACTGACTGTTATCAAGTTAGCTGGTTCTCCACCATGCCTGGATTAATTAACAACTTGGATTATATTCCCCTTCATCAACAGAGGAACTAGGAATAGTCTAAACCGAGACTAGAACAGAGGTTCTTTACCTTTTTACTTATCCACTGCTCCAAAGAGAGATGAGCAGTTGATCAAGACTGAAATGTTACTGTAGGAGCCTCAATCTGACGATGCTTAAACTACATTTAGGAAAAGAAAAATTGTAACTTAATTAACATTCTCATATGTTAGTTAGTCTCTTGAGTTTGAATCATGCCCATTTTTGTTGCATTCTATTTCCATTTTTGTACCGTCTCCCAGGTAAATCCTGGCAACAATTAAATAAAGGCAAAACCTGCCAAAACCACAACAAAAAAGAAAAAAAGATGATGTAACAAAATGCTATTAAATAGCCACTTTAAAAATGCCTTAAAATGTCAGCCTTACCTCAAATGTACAGTTTTGTTGAGACTACTACACTTCACTTATGTGGTAAATTGTCTAGTTAATCGTTAGTTGTACTGAACTCAAATATGTAGAAATATCTTTGCAATATTTGGTCAAAAAGAAGTTTGTTCACAATACATGAGAAAAAATGTAGTGTAATCAAATACAAAAACCACCAGAAACTGCTGGTTCAAGAATCAACACCTCGTTTGTAATGCATCATATTTATTAGAGGAGTGTTGTTTCAATGTACAGCGCTTCCTATATTTTGTCACTCTGTGTTTTGTTGCACAACGATATGCTGTGATAAGAGAAATAGATTAGTATTTTTGGCAGGTCACACAATTGAATAACCAGCTGATTACACAAAGCCTATATCAAAACAGCTTGGAGTGAAACCTCTGCTAAATGTCTTGAGAACTGCAGAAAGTAAGCCTGGCTGACCTGTACACTGTAGCGCGAGTAGGCGGATGGATAGGGGAATGTGGGAGAGAATGTGTTTCTTCTCTACGACATTTTCTTGATTTCTATTTATCTTGTAGACTTTTTTACGTCTTATTTGGTCAATAGAAGAATGCGCGAAATCCTGTGATTGACAGCCGGCATTGCAGCTGGCGATGTGTTTCCAGTGATCGCCACAAAAATCTGTGTCCTGACGTGTGAGACAGAATGAAACATTTGGTTGTTTCAGACTCATGTAAGCTTGAGATTACAGAACGTGAGATGATTCGTTTTCTTTTCTTTTCCTCTCTCTTCTCCTCTCAAGGTCACCGAGCGGTGAGAGCAACAACTGTTTATGTCTCACGTCTCCATGGATACAATAATTGACTCGAACAATGACTTTGTCACTTGTGTGGTATGAGTGTGTATCTTTGCTCATCTCCTGCATCTCTCTCACACTCAGTCCGTTCCCCACCCGCTCTCTTTTTTGCAGCAACCAGCTCCACTCGATTGGAGGATTTGAGTTATCTGGACAACCAAAGGGCTGCTGGACACAGGAGCTCCGTCCGCAAACACAACACCGCTGGACGCACAAGTGATGACTCCAAAGGTATTTTTGGGGCTTCACCTCAGGGCGAAATCAGTGTGTAAATATAGCTTGGTGCAGAAACATCTGCAAACCTGTGTGGAGCATGCACTTCCTCAATGTCACTGCCTAAATGACCCATTCTGATATAGCTTTGAATCTTCCCTCTTACTTCGTCCAGGGAGATTTGTGCCATTCAAGCAAGCTGACATCATGCTTAAACCGCTGCTGTTTGAAGTCCCCGGCATCACCGCAGAGACACCTTTTGTCGGCCGGGATTGGCTCTTCACGCGTCTGGAGGAGGTCCTTAGAAAAACAAGCAGCTGCGACGGCCGCGGTGCTGTGATTGTGGGTAACGCAGGATCCGGCAAGACTGCTGTCATGTGGCGGCTGCTGACACTCAGCTGTCATGGCATGCGCACGCCACAGGGAGGTCACAGCATCCCTCGCAGCCCCAGCTCCTCCCCTAAATGTAAGACTCCTATCTTTATTCGGAGCGGCGTAATTTGTTTTTGTGTGAGTCGCAAAGCATTAATGTAAGAACACATTAAGAATGCTGGAAGTTGAATTCATACATTCTCCAGTATGCTCCAGATTCCTGTAAGATTTTAGGGTAAATATCACTTTAACTGGGTCACGCACTCTTCTTTCAAGTTCTCCCCTGAGGTTTCTCTGCTGATTGCAGTTGTGTAAGGAGACTGAGATTGTTGTTTTTTTTGTTATCATGAAAAAGCTCAAACAACAGTAACGTTTGACTTGACTTTACTTGGGCCGGGTTTTGCACACTGCACAATAGATGCATGTTGTATGCTGTGACATGCTGGTAATTTCGGTTTCAGCATAAAACGAGACACATATGGAGGTATGAAAGAAAGTCGGCCACGAATACATATTTTTTTCGATATCATCTTCTTTCGGCCTTTTCCTGTAGCGCAATAAGAAGCATTTTTAAAATGACAGACTGAGAGCAAACTAGTCCTGAGAAGGCAAAACAAAAATAGTGTTTGAAAATAATCATTTTTCAGCATCATTGCATTGTTCACTGATATCTGTACTTTATGTTGTCATTTTGAATTCGATTTAACAGAGGGAAATGAACATGTGGTGTGCAGCCACAGTTGCTAGTCTTGCTTACAGATGCGCTAATTAATTGCAGCAGTTTAATTGTCTCTCTACTTCACTCCTGGCGTTCCTGTGCTTACACCCGAGACTTCATCTAACGAGTATAAATGGCAGCTTTGCGTTTGTTGTTGTTGCCCTGCGCTCTGTTCAGGTGGGGATAAGCAGGGAAAAGCAGCTTCCAAACAGCCTGCTGACTCCCAGCCCAACCAGAATGCTGCTGCAGGAACAAGCGATGGTACAGCACAGAGGAAGGAGGCTGTCAGATGCCTAGCTGCCAAGGTATCTCAAAGCACACACACACACACACATTTGTTTTTGTATACATGTGAGGACCCTCATTTTACATCGTTTATTTGGTTTCTTGCAGAGAGTAAAATGAGAGGATCAATACTCATGTCCATATGCTAAATATGAAGCTGAAGCTTAGCTTAGACCGGTAACAGGGGGAAACATCTGGCTCTCTCAAAATCTGCCTACCAGCACCTCTGTAGTTCACTGGTTATATCTTGATTTTTTTAAATCCGTATACAGAAACCAAGGTCTAAAAACTACATTTCATTATTTTATGTTATGTGCCGGACTATTTCTTGGCCAGGAGCAGTTGCTAGGCAACTAGCGAAGACTCAAGGAAGTTAATGCTCACAGGTTTTTTGTGTAAATTATAAACAAAAGATCACGTTAGTGAGCCATTAGTGAGCTTTAGAGGTGGTGGTAGATTGTTACCTTTGGACAGAGCCAGGCTAGCTGTTTCCCCGTTTGCGGTATTTATGCTAAGCTAACCAGGTGCTAGCAGTAGCTTCACATTTATTGAACAGATACGTGAGTGGTATCGATCTTCTCGTCTAACTCTCGACAAGAAGACCAAAGTATAAATGACAATCTGTTCTTTTAACCATCAGAACTACAGGCCTGACCCCCATCCCTGATTCTTAACTGGACTTTAACACAATTTTAATGTTATGCCCAAAACCAAAGAAGTAGCCTATGTGCTGACCAAAATGTCCCCTCTTTCCAAAAATGAAATAAAATATAGTATCAAATCAATCATGTCCACACAAGGCACTTCTGCTAGGTTCTTGTTCTTTATGCTGTTTCTGAGTAATTGTTGACACACCTGCAGTGAAACATACAAAAGGTAGAAATTATATTGACATTATAGAAATGCCCCGAGATTTAGCTTCTCGTCAGCTGCCTGCGTAGCTATAGATACGTTTTCCTGCACTTCTCTCACCAGATTTGAAAGCACATTAATATAATGCAGCATCATAAACAGTACTGTACTGTAGGGAGCTATGACCGTTACAAGCCTTCGCAAAACACTGAAGAGGGATCAATTCAAAGAGATAAACACACATCAGCATTGACACATACTGTTTTAAAGAGCTACGGGGCTGCACATTTGTGACACAACATTTGAATGTCATCCATTTCTCCTCTCTTGCATGACACGTGTTGTGCATGCTGCTGATTGCAACATAGATGACATGGAAGCTGCTAAATTTACTAACGTGGCCTCAATAAGAGTTTCCATGGGAACTAGTCAGACTACTTGTGATGGTGAGGGTGTTCGCTCATGGTCAAGGCTGGGACCTATCTAAGCCCTATGAGCGAATACTATTGATATGTTTTTCTGCAAAAATGTATTTACAGTTTACAGATAGTCTCCGAGCCAAACAGTTGCCGTTTATCTCAATGTTTTTGTGTTTTATGCTTTTGTTCAGTTTGGCTCCTTTATTGCAAAAATCACCTTTATTTGTAGTGATATGTTTCATGTCTCAGACTCTTGTTTACCCTGCAGTTTGTCGCTCGAATAAGCCAACTCTTTACTGAATGAGTTAAATAGATACTCTGCAGTAATATTAAATGAAGTTCTCATAGTCGAGTTTCATGAGACTATATGTTATGACTCCGCTACCTCTATGATTACTGCAAATAGGATTTCTGTGCTTATTTCTGGATGTTATTTTATGGTAGCCTTGATGGTTTTTATATTCTGTGATATAATCTTAGAGATTGTTTTTCTCCTTTTATTCTTGGGCTATGAACAGAAAATACACTCTGAACCGATCCAACAGCATATGAATTTGTGCAGTAATATCTGCCCCCCCCCCCCCCCCTTCATATTCATCACATTCAGACTCTTCAAGTAATTCAGGTGCTTGTTGTTTGTATTATGCAAACAGTACTGCTGTAGCCAAAGCAGCAAGACTTCAGATGATTCACATTTGCCAAAACAAATAAAGCTGCCAGTAAACAAATATGCTGTAGACTAAAAGCACAGAGGTGTAAATGGTTTTAAATTCAATATTCAGACAAGCCACATAGTACAATACCGCAGCTTGTCGAGTCAATTTTATTCATATAGCCCAGTATCACCTGATCACAAATTCCGCTCAAGGGGAGAATGCATGGCACAGTGCATGACTTAGCAGGAGACGAAAACTGTGAAGACTGAAGCTCAAGAGAGCTTTTCAGAATTGTTTTGCCATTTGATTTCATAGACACTTCAGACCAACTTCATATTCATGTGGCACTCCTCCCATTAGATGCACCAAAATCATGCAATATGGCCAAATGTAATTCAGAATGTTCCCACTGTTAAAACCTCCTGATCTATTTCCACCAGGACCATTAACGGTTGCACAGCTTTTATTTCGACCCAAATACAGATATTTCTGTAAAATAAACAGATAAAGATAGCAACTTTGCGTTTTTAGTGTTTTACCTGCCTCGTTTGTCTGTCAGGTGGTAGCCTACCATTTCTGTCAGGCTGACAATACCTACACCTGCCTGGTGCCAGAGTTTGTGCACAGTGTTGCCGCCCTGTTGGCCAGAGCGCCACAGCTCGCCCCGTACAGGGAGCTGCTGGTACAAGAGCCTCAGCTACAAAACACACTCAGCCTGCGATCCTGCGTTCAAGACCCCATCGCTGCCTTCCGAAAGGGTATCCTGGAGCCCATAGCCAGCCTGCGCAAGGGTAATGAAGTCTACGCACACACACACACACACACACACACACACACACACACACACACACAC